TGTGGCTGCAGAGGACACACTGCTGGTTGGTGCTGGGGAGGGTCTCCTGGGATTCGAGGCGGTAGGCAGCGCACTGATGAGTCATTCCAGGTGAGTAGGCACCCAACTCACCCAGAGCTCTCTGGTGCGCATATGTGTATTACTGTTATGTTTCCCGAGGTCTCTCCTCATTCCCAGCATAAGGCGCTAGTAGATTCAGGCGCAGCTGGGAATTTTATAGATCACCAGTTCACCTATAAGTTAGGGATTCCTATTGTACCCGTTGATGTGCCCTTCCCCATCCATGCCCTAGATAGCCGTCCTTTGGGGTCAGGATTGATTAGGGAAGTCACAGCACCTCTCAAGATGAAAACGCAGGAGGGCCATGAGGAGTTAATTAGTCTGTATTTGATGGATTCTCCTGCGTTTCCCATGGTGTTGGGACTCCCCTGGTTAATGTCACATGACCCGGGCGGTGTGTAGGTGTTTCCGTAGGGGCAACGACGGTGGAAAGTCCGAACCAAGTTCCCCCCATGCACATTCCACCTGAATATGCCGATTTGGCGCTCGCCTTCAGTAAAAAGAAGGCGACTCAATTACCACCTCATCGACAGGGGGATTGTGCGATAGACCTCCAAGTAGGCGCTGCGCTTCCTCGTAGTCATGTGTATCCTCAGGAGGAGACGGCGGCTATGGAGACATATGTCGCCGAATCTCTGGGACAGGGATACATACGGCCATCCACTTCCCCTGTGTCATCGAGTTTCTTTTTTGTGAAGAAGAAGGATGGGGATTTACGCCCGTGTATTGATTACCGTGGTCTCAATCAGATCACAATCAAGTACAGCTATCCTCTCCCTCTGATTGCTAGTATGACGGAGTCATTACACGGGGCGCGATTCTTCACAAAATTGGACCTCAGGAGCGCGTACAACCTGGTGCGCATTAGGGAGGGAGATGAGTGGAACACAGCATTTAGTACAACCTCGGGTCACTATGAGTACCTTGTCATGCCATACGGTTTAATGAATGCTCCTTCAGTATTCCAATCGTTTGTGGACGAGATTTTCCGGGACTTGCATGGACAGGGTGTAGTGGTGTATATTGATGACATTCTAATATACTCCGCTACACACGCCGAGCATGTGTCCCTGGTGCGTCGGGTGCTTGGTAGACTGTTGGACCATGACCTGTATGTGAAGGCAGAGAAGTGTCTGTTCTTCCAGGAGTCCATCTCCTTCCTGGGGCATCGGTTGTCCGCGTCAGGGGTGGATCTGGAGATTGACCGCGTTTCAGCCATGCGTAATTGGCAGACTCCCACCACGGTGAAGGAAGTGCAGCGGTTTTTGGGTTTTGCCAATTACTACCGGAGGTTTATCCGGGGCTTTGGACAGGTAGCAGCTCCCATTACTTCCCTGCTAAAGGGGGGTCCGGCGCGTCTGCAGTGGTCGGCTGAGGTGGACAGGGCGTTTAGACATCTGAAGGACCTGTTTACCTCGGCTCCGGTGCTGGCACATCCGGATCCCTCTTTGGCGTTCCAAGGTGAGGTGGATGCGTCCGAGGCTGGGATTGGTGCTGTACTATCTCAGCACTCGGGTACGCCACCAAAACTCTGCCCCTGTGCCTTCTTCTCTAAGAAGCTCAGTCCGGCGGAGCGTAATTATGACGTGGGGGACAGGGAGCTGTTGGCTGTAGTCCAAGCCCTGAAGGTGTGGAGACATTGGCTTGAGGGGGCTAACCACCCTTTTCTCATTTTGACTGACCATCGTAGCCTGGAGTACATCCGGGCAGCGAGGAGGCTAAACCCTCGCCAGGCAAGGTGGGCCATGTTCTTTACCAGATTTGTATTTAAACTCACCTATAGACCAGGGTCACAGAACACTAAGGCGGACGCCCTGTCCCGACTGTATGACACAGAGGAGAGGTCCATTGAGCCCACTCCCATACTTCCGGAGTCTTGTCTGGTGGCACCGGTGGTGTGGGAGGTTGATGCGGACATCGAGCGGACGTTACGTACCGATCCTACTCCCCCACAATGTCCAGAGGATCGGAAGTACGTGCCGCTCGAGGTTCGTGATCGATTGATCTATTGGGCTCACACGTCACCCTCCTCTGGTCATCCTGGTATTGGTCGGACGGTACACTGCCTTAGTAGGAAGTACTGGTGGCCCACTTTAGCTAAGGACGTGCAGGTTTATGTTTCCTCCTGCTCGGTGTGCGCCCAGTGTAAGGCGCCTAGACACCTGCCCAGAGGGAAATTACAACCCCTACCCGTTCCACAACGGCCGTGGTCTCACCTATCGGTGGATTTTGTCACGGACCTTCCCCCCTCCCAGGGGAACACTACGATCTTGGTCGTTGTGGATCGGTTTTCTAAGGCCTGCCGTCTCATTCCTATGCCAGGTCTCCCTACAGCCCTACAAACTGCTGACGCCCTGTTTACACACGTCTTCCGGCACTACGGGGTGCCTGAGGATATAGTGTCTGATCGGGGTCCCCAGTTCACCTCTAGAGTCTGGAAGGCGTTTATGGAACGTCTGGGGGTCTCGATTAGCCTTACCTCAGGTTTTCACCCCGAGAGTAATGGGCAGGTGGAAAGAGTTAACCAGGATGTGGGTAGGTTTCTGAGGTCCTATTGCCAGGACCGGCAGGGGGAGTGGTCGGTATATATCCCCTGGGCGGAGATAGCTCAAAACTCACTCCGTCACTCCTCCACTAACCGTACGCCTTTTCAGTGTGTGCTGGGTTATCAGCCAGTTCTGGCACCTTGGCATCAGAGCCAGATCGAAGCCCCTGCGGTGGACGAGTGGTTTCGGCGCTCGGAGGAGACATGGAACGCTGCGCATGTCCATCTGCAACGGGCCATCAGGCGGCAGAAGGCGAGCGCCGATCGCCACCGTAGTGAGGCTCCGGTGTATGCACCGGGAGATCGGGTCTGGCTCTCGACCCGAAACCTGCCCCTTCGCCTGCCCTGCCGGAAGCTGGGTCGGCGGTTTGTGGGGCCATTTAAAGTCCTGAGGAGATTGAACGAGGTATGCTATAGATTACAACTGCCAATGAATTACCGCATTAACCCCTCGTTCCATGTGTCTCTCCTCAGGCCGGTGGTAGCTGGTCCACTCCAGGAGAGTGAGGTACGAGAGGTTCCTCCGCCCCCATTGGACATCGAGGGGGCTCCGGCGTACTCGGTCCGTTCCATCTTGGATTCGAGGCGTCGGATGGAGGGCCTGCAGTATCTCGTGGAGTGGGAGGGGTACGGTCCGGAGGAACGGTGCTGGGTCCCTAGGAGGGACATCCTAGACCCCTCCATGCTGAGGGATTTCCACCGGAGTCATCCGACTCGCCCTGCTCCGCGTCCTCCTGGCCGTCCCCGAGGCCAGGGTCGGCGCACGGATTTAGCCGAGGCTGCTCCTCCTCCTTGCTCGGGCAGGCTTCGGCGTTCGTCGTCCCCGGAGTACTAGCTGCCACCGATCTAGGTTTCAGCAATCATCTAGATTGGTCTGCTTTGTGTACACCTGTTTCCCATTAGTGTTGATGGTTTCCCTTTATAACCCCTGTCTGTCATTCGTTTGTTATGTGTGATTGTTCTCCGTTTGTTTTCGGCAGGACTGTGTATTGCGATTATTGTTCCTCCCTGTTTTGGAGGTTTTGTACTTTTCATTACGTTTATGAGTAAAGTACATCTGCCAGTCTCTCGGTGTCCTGCGCTTGACTTCGTTCACCGCATACACGTTTATCCTGACAAACGTACAAAATCAGCAGGGGATCAAATACTTTTTTCCCTCACTGTATATAGACTGGTGTGTGCCTTTCCAAATCATGTTCAATCAATTGAATAAACCACAGGTGGACTCCAATCAAGTTGTAGAAACATCTCAAGGATGATCAATGGAAACAGGATGCACCTCAGCTCAATTTCGAGTCACATAGCAAAGGGTCAGAAGACTTATGTAAATAAGGTATTTCTGTTCATTATGTTTTAGTCAAATTTTGTCAAACTTTGTCATTATGTGGTATTGTGTGTGGGTTGACAAGGATTTGTTTTTATTTAATAAATTTTCGAATAAGGCTGTAATGTACCAAAATGTGGAAAAAGGGAAGGGGTCTGAACACTTTCCGAATGCACGGTAAATATTTTGGTCTATGCTGTATGTGGAGCAGATCGTATTTAATGGAGTAATGCCAAATAAAAATTATTTTCATATGAGGGTTTAGAGTTGAGTACAACTGTCCACTAGAGACGATGGATGACTAATATTGCTCCTTTAAGTGGTGGTTGTTACTGAACTTGAAACTGGTTTTATCCTCAAACACACAATCACTGTCAGAAAGGCAAAAGCCAAATAGAAAAGTGTAAGTCCCATCACTAACATTCATTATTAGAGCTATAGGCATTTAGGTGTGTTGATTTACAGTAAAGAGGATCTGTCTCTGCCTGGGCAAGGGGTTGGGGGAGGAGAGGACAGGAGGCAGTGTTTGTAATATGCTCTAAACTCTACTGGACCACTACAGTGTTGGGTTTTGACTGTTTTTTTTCAGGCATTGCTGCAGTGAATGTTCAAACTGCAGTCAGTGAAAAACAAAACACCACATATCACATTGATTTGCATTTCTACGCCCCTGGTTTCTGTTAGATCTGTCTAGAATGCGTGTGTGTGTGTCTGAGCGACTGAGTGTCTGAGCATTAGATACTGTGACAGTTTGGTATCTTTCCAAGGTCAGTGCAGTAACTTTAACAGTGTTCCACTCCTCTGCTCTCCATAGACTGTTATAACAAACCACACATCCCCCTTTCACGGAGAGAAAGTATGACAGAGGGGACGAGAGAGAAAGAGGACGGCATATGAGAAAGAGGACGAGGCTGTATTTAAGTTTCCTGATGACGTCACCATTCTGAAAGGACTCCCACAAGAGACAGAGGATGAAGGGAGGGCATATGGAGTGATGCATGTTCTGTAAAGCCCTCCCCTTCCCCACTATCATGACCCCTAACCTCTGACCTAAGCCCACCTGCATTGGGGGCCAGGGACTTCATTTCCCCGCATAGCTCTAGAGAAATCAGTCACCACACAAATGTGCTCTGAACCTTTTAATTCCACCAACAGCATAATAAACATTCAAATTACAGAGAAAGCTAGGAATCCTAAGGTGCATTGATTAGCAAAAAAAACAAAAACGTAAACTTGTACTACAACTACTAAAAACGATGGCCACAGATAAAATACGCGATCTAAAAAAATATATAAATGGAACCCTAAATTAAGTGCAACTAGATTGAGAAAGTTAGTGCACACATATGATTAGTAAGGTTTAATGCCCCTTTTAATAGTAATCTACTGTCAGTAGTCACACCCCCCACCCCACAGCTGAAGTGAGAGACAGGCAAAGAATTAAATGAATTTAAATGGAATTGACCCCAAGTCTCTCACTCCCACCCCCATCTTTCTATGTGTCTCAGGGCCAGCTCACTCTTCGGGGCCGGAGGACATCTTGAGGAGGGAGCTTTTGTCGATCTTGAAGAGTCTCCATCCCTCCTCCAGAGAGAGGTCGGCGGCGCCACGACGCTTGTAGAACTCTATCGACGCCTGGTTGCCCTCGGCGACGATGAAGTGCATGCTGCTGCAGCGAGTCTTGACTGCCGTCTGAGGGGGAGAGAGGAAGGGAGAGCAGGTGTTAGCACACATGTATCTGACAGTGATCTGTGAGCTTTCCCCTCCCCTCACACAAAGCCGTCCACATCTAAATCAGCTTTTTCCGCCAACACCATTTCTCTTAAAACTACATCTCCTCTTTTCCCAACACACATTAATTGATTATTTCAACAACAATAACCAAACAAACACACAGAACAAGAACAGAATCAACGGTCTGTACAAAGAATCATAACTTGCTGAAATGGGCTCTACAGAAAGTACAGGATTCTGTTTGAGGCATTGACCTACTTCTACAACAGTCTGGCCTGAGCTGTGTAACAACTGACTGACAGTTACCCTCCAGTTTGTAGTGGGTCATAACTCCTAAGTTACTCACGTGACTGAGGAGCTTGAGGATCTCTGAGCCGATGCCAAACCCTGGTAAAAGCATGAAGGAGAGAGATTATGGTTACTGGTCAGGTCAGAGAGGATAGGAGGGAGAAAGAGAGAGAGCAGGAGAGGAAAATAACATTATTTTGCTTACCCCTGTACTCTTTCATGACAAAGAAGTCTTCCAGGTAAAGCAGCTTGCCGATCCAGGGGTCATAGGTGAAGTAGTACATGGCAAACCCAATCACCACAGGACCTGGACACACAGAAGTAAACCCACACACATAAAAACAAGCCAGATGTAATGTAACATAGAGCTCGTACCGGAGTTACCCCAAGATACTAATCTAAGATCAGTTTAGCATTTTTCCTTAAATGGTTAAGGGTGGTTAGGGCAGAACTGCTCATAGATCTATGGTTAAGAGTAACTTATACTTTCAGCTGTAAACTCAGTCTGGTTTTAGTGAGGCCAGGGGACTGTGTAGAGAGGTGACGTGTCAGTTGGTTGTGTTGTGAGAACCTATGCATGGAGGCAGGCTGTTCTAGCTCAGAAAAGCTTCCAACGGAAGTTGGTTAGTGGGTGTGTATTACACAAGTGTGTCTGGCCTACATCTGAGTGACATCCACATTCATAACAGGAAGTAGGCCTCGACACATGTACACACATGTTTGTGTGTGCGTGTACAGCAACAACGTATCAAACAAAACACCTAGTTACTTCCAGACACCAACTGTCATGTCATTGTGTACCACATCAATATAACTATTGTAAGGATAGGGGTGTGTCTATAGAGTAAGGACAGTACATTATTGTCTCTATACAGTACAAACTGGGCTAACATGTTTGATTCATGTCTTGCATAGGGGAAGTAGCTATATGTCAGGGATCCCTGCGGGGCAGAAACGTTCTTCTATGCATAGGTGAGGCACCGTTTCAGTCAAGCCCATCTGATACAGTTTGCTATAATACAATACTTGTCTGTCACAATCAGCATATCCATCCAATCCTCTGAGATTTACAGGTGTGCTCCAGGGGAGGATATGAGAATCTCTTACCGTTGTTGTTGCTCTGCTGCTCACTGGGGACTTCGGCCACGACGCAGTGGTAAAATGGATGGTCACCGAATCCGTCCTCGAGCAGATCTGTTATTACAACCGTTATAAACGCCTTATAAACTCTGTATGCACTGCAGTCAATCACACGGTGACCGAGACAGAAATGCTTTAGTTTCATTCAGACTCACCTTTCTCAGTCAGTATCACTTGATCTTCCATTTCTTCATATTTAGCCAGTTCCTGAACAGAAGAAACATTACAGATTAAAAACCAAGAAGAGCGAGTCAATAGCGTAACGTTGATCATTCACTGAGATAAGGGACCGTCAACGAAGAGAACAGCGTTGACCGTTTTCACCACACCATCAAACGGAAAAAAAACCGGCCTCGTTGCCAACGTAATAAACACAAAGGTACAAAACTGTGATACCTACGGATATGCAGCAGAAATTGTCGGTATTTACGTCACCTTCAAGACAGACACAAATGTGCGGAGTTTATCTCTGAATGCAGTCTAACAAAACGGTTTCGACTGGGCTTAGCCTAGCCAGGGTTACAAAATAATAATAAAGGATGGGTCAACTCCTTGTCAAAGTTTTTAGGGGGAGTTTCCGGCCTACCTTTATGAGTCGTAGTATGTCAGGCACATCTTTTGGTTCCGCTTTACGCAATTTAAAACGATCCATTTTCTTCTTTTACTCTTTTTCCCTTTTCTCACTAAACCTCTGTACGTGAAGTGAAGCAGGAGAAGTTTCTTCATTCGCGTCCCAGGAGTTTAAACCTCCACAGTCAGTCTGGGATCCTGACGCCTATGTCGGGAGAGTTTTCATGCAGCAGGGACCTGTCTGGGTCGGATCAGCTGGGGATCGTGCTTTGTCTCGCACCAAGGTTTTATACTGGCTCGTGGGGGTTGGGGCGGTTAACCGGAACTTGGTCATTTCTGGCCAATTGGAACGAGGGTTCTACGAGACGTCACGAGTTTCTCTGTTGTTTTCATTGGTTGTTTTCTCCGGTCACGAGATAACGGCATAAAATTATAGTTTACTAACTGAATCTAGCCTACTCTGTATTTGAGCACTTTTACTACATAGTGGAATTCTATATAATGTATTGAGTAGGAATGTTTAAAGAAATTTGTTAAATTTTGCACAGGCTTTGACTACAGTGGAATGTAGTCAAGGCCGGCGCCTTTTTTCTCTTTGTTGAGGGAAAATGTACTTGATAAGATTGTGTGATGTGTTGTTGTCTTACCTAGCTATCTTACGACTAATGCACTAATTGTAAGTAGCTCTGGATAAGAGCCTCTGCTACATTACTAAAATGTTAAATGTAAATATAAAATGAATGACCGTAATAACATGTTCAGTATGTTGTTACTGGATTGTAGCCAATGAAGTCCAGACTTTACTCTCAAGTGTTTGTATTTAGGGGGTGGAAAGAGTACGAAAATATCCTACTCAAGTAGAAGTAATGTTACTTTAATTACATTTGACTCAAGTAGAGGTACAATTACTGGTGTAAAAAACTACAACTAAAAATAAATAGTAAGATAAAAGTAATTGAGTTACTTTTAAAATATAAACGTTGACCTTGATAATTAGAATTTCGCTAAGATTCCCTGAACTATGTTACACGTCATGATATTTTGCATGCATTACATTGAAAGAGGAAGAGAGGAAATTAGTTGCAACAAGGCACATACAGTTGAAGTCGGAACTTTACATACACTTAGGTTGGAGTCATTAAAACTTGTTTTTTCAACCACTCCACAAATTTCTTGTTAACAAACTATAGTTTTGGCAAGTCGGTTAGGACATCTACTTTGTACATGACATTTTTCCAACAATAGTTTACAGACAGATTATTTCACTTATAATTCACTGTATCGCAATTCCAGTGGGTCAGAAGTTTACATACACTAAGTTGACTGTGCCTTTAAACAGCTTGGAAAATTCCATAAAATGTTGTCAAGGCGTTAGAAGCTTCAGATAGGCTAATTGACATAATTTGAGTCAATTGGAGGTGTACCTGTGGATGTATTTCAAGGCCAACCTTCAAACTCAGTTCCTTTTTGCTTGACATCATGGGAAAATCAAAAGAAACCAGCCAAGACCTCAGCAAAAAAATGGTAGACCTCCACAAGTCTGGTTCATCCTTGGGAGCAATTTCCAAACGCCTGAAGGTACCACGTTCATCTGTACAAACAATAGTACGCAAGTATAAACACCATGGGACCACCAAATTTGTGGGCAGAACTGAAAAAGTGTGTGCGAGCAAGGAGGCCTACAAACCTGACTCAGTTACACCAGCTCTGTCAGGAGGAATGGGCCAAAATTCACCCAACTTATTGTGGGAAGCTTGTGGAAGGCTACCCAAAACTTCTGACCCACTGGGAATGTGATGAAACTCTACTATTATTCTGACATTTCACATTCTTAAAATAAATATGTGATCCTAACTGACCTAAAACAGGGAATTTTTACTAGGATTAAATGTCAGGAATTGTGAAAAACTGAGTTTAAATGTATTTGGCTAAGGTGTATGTAAACTTCCGACTTCAACTGTATATCTTAAAAATATATTTTTCAAAAATATACTATTCATTCGGGGTGGCAGGTAGCTTAGTGGTTAAGAGCGTTGTGCCAGTAACCGAAAGGTCGCTGGTTCTAATCCCCGAGCCGACTAGGTGAAACATCTGTCAATGTCCCCTTGAGCAAGGCACTTAACCCTAATTGCTCTGGATAAGAGTGTCTGCTAAATGACCTATTTATTCACTGACTCACTCACTTATTCACAAAACCCCTCTTCCACTCACTCACCAGAGGTGGAAAGAGTACTGAAATATCCTAATCAAGTAGAAGTAAGATTACTGAAAAATATTTAGAAAAAGTACAAATACTCAGAAAAGCGACTCAATTACTGTAACCAGTGGCGACCCGTCATTCAGGGTAGGTGGGGCAGAACCTGTTTTGAGCCCCACATTTCTAGAAAAAAACTCAGTGCTTTCTGTGGTGGTGGGTCAAGCCAGCAGAAAATACGGAGCGTTGCGCCGTGATTGGCTCAGTGTTCTGTCATTCATGGGGACACTATGTCACCGCCAAGTCTAAGGGTAGACTTAGAAAATTCAAGCCCCTTGGGTTCTGCCATAGAGTTACATTAGAAGTGCTCTTCCAAGAAGGCTTAAGGTCATTGGCCACAGATAAAATTACTTCAAATCATGTTATATGTACAGTAGCTTTGATTGGACTGATCATGTCAACATCTTACTTTCAAAAGCTTAGCATCATCATGAATCAAGTCGACAATCTACTGGCAAATCCTTTTTAATCCTTGTCATATGAAGATAAATAATGAAGAGAAATTATAGATAAAACGTATTGGTGCTCATCGGACATTGGACATAAACATTACACAACAAGTTGGAAATCGCAAATTCAACAATGAGTGGTTTGGAAGGAATCGGTGACAGTGGCTAACTGCAAGCATTGCAACTGGGAAGTCGGGAATAAACGAGCTCCGACTGGGAAAATACGTTTTGAACGGCCATCCAACTCGGAATTGTAAATCCGGCCTATTTCTCTTTATTTGATGACAAAATTTGCCCACGAAGGACCGCCGCACCACCTTCCTGTTCAAGTGAGCACAGCACAACAAGGTGAGTCCAAAAATGTATTGTATGCTGCTGCATAAATTATGTAATATGCCAGGGAGATATGTATACTGTAGCTAAGAAAGTAATACTAAGTGTATGTTGTGTAGTAAGCTGTTAATAGCCCATGTGCCTCACCCTAATAATTTGGTCCCATTTCCACTCATAATTTAGCCTACTGTTCTGACTTGGTGGTGCACATGTAGCCTATAGCCTATTTTAGAGAAATGTCATCATCGAATATTGTAAGAGCTTTCTTTGTCTGCTTATATGCCCCCTTTATTTATCCTACGGTTCTGACTTGGTGTACAGGGAGAATACTGTAAGAACGGCCCATGTTCTGAATTCTGTTGCTGTACATTTCAAAAGTGCTGAACAAATAGTTATATTGATTACATCCATCCTAGCTCGCTCATTAATGTCTTAATCAAAATTATGGATTTCCTCTTATCCGCTCGTCGTCCCCTTATGCCATAGTTTGTACATCTCAATTGTCAGTAGAAACCACATTTGTTTAAGCAAGTCAGCCATATCAGATATGTTTTTTTTAAAGGCAGTAAAGGAAGCTGAATGAACTGCTTCGCTGCCAGACACGGCTCCGTTGATAGCCATGTGTAGTGGTGGTAAGGTTTTGGGACTGCTGTTGGGACTCTGCTGTTGGGACAGCTTTATGTAGGCCCTAACAGTTTGTGGGCACCGTTTGTCACTGTTATAGTGCAATTCATGTATTGTTTAGTGTTGTGTTGTGTAGTGTAGTGGCTTGCTGGCATGCATCTAAAACATTTTTTTTGAGTTTGTCCCACCAAGATTGACATGCTAAAATCGCCACTGACTGTAACGAGTGTAGTTGTAATGAGTTATGTTAGACCTCTGGTAGCAAGTGAGGAACCATATAATGATAATGATGTGGTGCCATTCAGGACTAGGACTAGGACTTACATTTACAATTACACTCACATAAAAAGATGCTTAAACCCTTTGACAATACATTGATCTACAAACTTTAATTTAGACGTGAACTAACTCTTTAATTACACTGCTCTTGTCCAACATCTACCAGTACCAGGTCAAAATACTGTATGACAACATTTTGGAATGTGTTTTTGAGTTTCATGCTGGAGACATGTTGTCAGAACACCCCCATTGAAACAGGTGAGCGTGTGGATTGGAATGTAGGTTTTTCCATGTTATAGCCCTGAGCCCAGCCCGGAATAGCTCATTGAATGTGGAAAACTACTATTAATGACAAAGGCCTCGTGACCCAGGCATAATGAGGAGATTTAGACGGTAATAACAACTTATCTACGTGACGGAGACAACAGATGTCTGATGTTACTCTCTAAATTATTGATGATTGATTTCCATTACCATTAGTATCTATCTATTTATCCTGCTACTGGCCACTATTACTCCTTTTTACATGCATGTACAGTTGAAGTCGGAAGTTTACATACACTTAGGTTTGAGTCATTAAAACTTGTTTTTCAACCACTCCACAAATGTCTTGTTAACAAACTATAGTTTTGGCAAGTCGGTTAGGACATCTACTTTGTGCATGACAAGTAATTTTTCCAACAATTGTTTACAGACAGATTATTTAACGTATAATTCACTGTATCACAATTCCAGTGGGTCAGAAGTTTACATACACTAAGTTGACTGTGCCTTTAAACAGTTTGGAAAATTCCAGAAAATGATGTCATGGCTTTAGAAGCTTCTGATAGGCTAATTGGCATCATTTGAGTCAATTGGAGGTGTACCTGTGGATGTATTTCAAGGCCTACCTTCAAACCCAGTGCCTCTTTGCTTGACATCATGGGAAAATCAAAAGAAATCAGCCAAGACCTCAGAAAAAAAATGGTAGACCTCCACAAGTCTGGTTCATCCTTGGGAGCAATTTCCAAACGCCTGAAGGTACCTCGTTCATCTGTACAAACAATATTACGCAAGTATAAACACCATGGGACCACGCAGCCGTCATACCGCTCAGGAAGGAGACGCGTTATGTCTCCTAGAGATTAACGTACTTTGGTGCGAAAAGTGCAAATCAATCCCAGAACAACAGCAAAGGACCTTGTGAAGATGCTGGAGGAAACAGATACAAAAGTATTATATCCACAGTAAAACGAGTCCTATATCGACATAACCTGAAAGGCCGCTCAGCAAGGAAGAAGCCACTGCTCCAAAAATGCCATAAAAAAGCCAGACTACGGTTTGCAACTGCACATG